CCCCAAAACCCCAAAACCCCAAAACCCCAAAACCCCTATAAACAAGGATAGAGTTGATACACAAGTTAATAAAAATGGGAACTGTAGCGTGATGTGACAGAAGAGACACCAAATTAGCCGAATTTGAAGGTCCTCCTATGTGTTATACTCAAGAGCAGATTAGGATATAAGTTTTGATGATAATCTGAAGGAGATGCAAGATAACCCTCATTGAAGTTCATGAACTTGTCATTCTTCTGTATTATCCCAAAATACGAAAAATTCAAAACTTAGGAAAACTTCTGCTAACACCCTTAGCGAGCAGGGGTATTCTCAATTCTCTAAGACTCACAGTGCTTTAAAAATATCTAAAATTTTAGAAGAGATCGCTTCAGTAAGCAGCGGAGATTCTCCTGATCATTTTGAGAATAAACGTAACTCCTCTATCCATTTAAAACCAATTTCAAAAGCAAAGAAGAAACGGAGTAAAATGCTACATAAGAAGAGGCACAATTCTGTTTGGTGTAAGGAACAGAACCGGAACGATCCTCTCCAAGACTATTCTGATGAATTTGCCATGGTCAGATCATCAGTTAAGAGTCATATACAGAAGAGTCATGGCTCCACCAAATCTCTTCGTAGGGTAAGGAAAGTGTCCTCGATCATGACTGTGAGTTTGAATGACTTCTAACCAAGGTTGAAAGCCAAGTACTGCATCACCTCTCTAAGGTTCCAAATGTTCACTAAAATCTCACCTAAAGTTTATTCTAAAAGTTATCTGAGTTTAAGAGTATTTGGTGTGCAAAACCAGAGAGGCTTTGGGTAAAGTTTTTATACTCAATCTGCTACAACTTAAGTGGTTCCTTAAGACCCAAGCTCTTGTTCTACTATAGCTCTTGGCTTGCTAGCACAAGCAAGGAGTTCATAACTGTGCAGTTACCTTTAGGATCGAGCTAGCTGAACCATGGCTTATATGTACATGTCTTCATGGGGCTTTTGGATGAATTTTTAGCTTTGAGATGATTTTTATATGATATTTATGCAAAATTTTGGGCCTTAACTGGATGTCAGACTTACTGAGAGATTCGAGAGTCAGCTTGTAGTTTAGAATTTAATTTAGAAAATATTCATAAGTATGAAATAACCGAAAATTCGCAAGTTTTAATTCACTCAATTAAAAAATTGGAGAGAGGGGTTTTGGGGTTTTGGGGTTTTGGGGTTTTGGGG